AGAACAATCCTATAGATATTAGATATATTATATATTTATATCACCGACTACTACTAGACACGACATATTGCCTAGCCTACTATAGAAAATAGCACAGAATAGATTAAATGCTACTAGTGTTGTAGTTTGTAGACTTTTCAATAGTCCGTGATTTATATTATATTACTCATGCTTTGGAGTTTGGATTCGCCATGCGGATATCCGGTTGTAAATCTGTAATTGGTTGTATGTATTTTGACTATTTTATTCTGTTCTGCCGTTCTGTGTAATTTTTTGCATTGTATAATAATTAAAAGATTCCGTAACTGTCTTCTTTACCGTTCACTTCTTTTTATTTATGATCAATGTGAATTTCAAACATTATGTGTAAAATATAATATGTGATTCTTGCGAGTAGAAGTCAATTCTTCAGTACTGCCACTTTCTCAAATTATCTGTATTTATTAATTTTCAAATACTTATTTATTTTAGTTTTAGTTTCGCATAAATAAAACTAAGAATTGATATATTTATTTATTATTACCATGAATTATACTCGACCATTCTGATAAAAAATCAGATGTGTATATTTTGATAATTACACCAAATTATACGGTATAAAATGCTCTATAAAATTAAAATAAAACATGAAAATCGGTAAAATAAAACATGAAAATCGGTTCTGTCGATGTATAAGGTAAACAAATGAATTATAATAAAATTGAAAATACCTAGAAATATTTTTTCTACCGAGTATTCTAATACGTATTTTAAAAACTTTTCAATGTAAGTATCTGTACCTATATTGATATATGTATTTGAATACTTTTTAAAAAAATGTCTTTAACGAGACTGGAGTGACGTCACACTTATTTCGCACCGCGCGGCAAAAGCTGCTCCGTGTTGACGCACCTTAACTTTCCACGTGAGAAAATTCTATTTCACACAAATTATAAGTAATTGACGGACGGACATAACAGGGTAGCGCCACACATAGCGGTTGGGCCGCAGTGGTTGAACCATCTAAAAAAATTCAAATTGTTTTATTTTAAATGCAACCGACTGATCTTATACTGATATTATACTTAGGTATCTATGCGACTGATATGCGATCCAGCCGAGGAAACGGTCGCGTCTAAAAAACCGACCGTTATGTGTGGCCCACGGCATAAAGTATTCTAAACTTATGTTTAGACAAACTGTATTCGGTCACTGATAAGAAAAGTTTTTCCTACTTTTGCAATGATTTATCACGGAATTCAAATTTAACATATCTCAYGCAGGCTCAAATGCTCAATCGAGATGATATTAATTGGGTACATAGTATCTATACAAATTAAATATTTTTATACATACAGAATACAGTTTATTAGTGGGCAGATCATACGTAAAAATTACATAGTTGATCCACTTAGTAATCTGACAAGTGACAACACTTCAACAGATTAAAATAAATGCATTTATCGATTCATTCAGAACCTAAGAATTGAAGGCTATAGCTCTAGCAGACCCTCAATGCATTAATAATGCTAATAATCATAATAATCAATACTAATAATTGTTATGGGATTTTTTTTTAAATAAAATAATATTTAGTTTTTAGTTTATTATTCAAATGTACAAAAAAAGGCAATGTTGGGTTATACATACATGCGCTGTGATTATTATATTATAAATATGAGACTTATGAGTAATTTATTTTACGAATTGCCGAGGAAACCAAAATTGTTTATTGTTATAATCGTTATATAACACTAGTTTGAAATTATTTTGTTCTCAATAGTCAATCAAAAACAGTGCTTAATAATCTTTATAAAGATATATAAAAAAAGATATACATATATGGAATGTTGAACACGGCAGATTTAGTTGTTTGTATTTTTTTGTTCGTGATACAAGGACAATTGGATGGTTTTCCTATATCAAGACGTATGTATTAATTATAATATATCTATATTAAATAACAATAATTATTGTAATCCACTACATTGATATTCTGATGCCGAGATGCATGATGAAACATGCATTAACTCAATGGAATATTTATATGGGCAATATATTATATGTTTAAGGGACCTCTAGTGCACTATTGGTTCCTAAAACGTTTAATAATTGTTCTGAACTAGCTTCCCGGCATTCGAATAATGGGACGTTAGCGCGTCATTTGTTTTAAGATTTTGGGAGACTATACAGGGAAAGAAAATAAAATAAATTGTGTGCTGAAATTTTGGAGTTACAGTATTAAACTAATAATGTCGAACGGAGTGATATCATGATTACTATAATATTATATACGATTTAAAATAAWATAATATAATACTACTTCCAGTGCCGTCCAACCGAGATGACTTGTTGTGGTCCACTTCGGCTCAACCCTCAGAATCGACCGACATGTTTCCCGACACGCGACCGTGTAAACATGATGACTGGAGCTCGTCCATCACTTCTCCGCTGTTGTTACATGACGTGACCTGCAGGCACAAACGTATTCAGACGTCGAATGATTTGACTCCGTCACCTGCAGCACGGCGAATGTCTTCGTTGTCCGGCAAAAATGATTCGCGTAAGGCGATCTTGCAGCATTCGACACAACCGTCGCCGACCGAAAACGAAATAGGCTTTTCACCGTTGTCCGACGAAAATAGCTCGCGTAAAGTCTCGAATACGTTCCGGCGATCGTCTACGAACAATATCGACGCGTTAAGCTCTTCGCCATCGTCCAAAAATGAATCCGAAAAATTTCCGATGACGACGTCGTTTGCCATGCGAATGCAGTCCAACTTTCGACTTTCAAAGGAAAAGGAATCGCCCATGATTTTGTTTGACCAAAACGGCAAGATGTACACTAACTTCTACCCTCCTATCGGGTACCAAAGTAATGGAAACAAACAAAGAGCCAATGACGTCGATTGGGGCCGCCAATATTTACCGAAGTGGTTGGTTATTGGCGGTAACAAAACCTAATTTAAAACTTTTGCAACGTCCTTGATTATTTTAGGTACCTACCGCTAATCRCCAACCATTTCGGCAAATATTGGCGGCYCCAATCGACGTCRTTAGCTTTTTGTTTGTTTTCATTGCTGTGGTGTCCAATGGTAGGGTAGAAGTTGGTGTACACTATACATCTGGCCGTTTTGGTCAAATAAAATCATGGGCGATTATTTTTCATTTGAAAGTCGAAAGTTGGACTGCATTCGCATGGCAAACGACGTTGTCATCGGAAACTTTTCGAATTCGTTTTCGGGCGACGGCGGTTGAGTCGCATGCAAGATCCCCCAACGCATATCTTTTTTGTTGGAACACGAATATATCCAAACTGTTCTGGTGTCGGAATCAAACCGTTCGTCAACAAATGAATACGTTTGTGCAGCCTGTAGGTCATTATTTGTAACAACAACGGAGAAATGGAAGAACTCCAGTAAACATTATTCGGTCACGTTTCAGAAAACGTCCAAAACCAAAAGCATACGCTTTCTATGTAGCTATTGAACTATATAGGTATACCATTATTGTTGTTGGTTAAATTTTAACTCATTTCGATACCTATGTATAATGTAAATTTAATTTTTGTAAAATATTGTAAGCTTGAACAGCATATATGTATACTTGTATCGATATCTTCTCCAAAAAAAATCAGTRTTCTAATATTGATATATTAGATAAATGTTTATTTTAACCATTTATAAAAAATAAAACTATGTAAAAAATAAAAAATAAATTATTGTAACGTTATTATTCTGTATACACAATTATTATGTATTTTTTAACATTTTGCTGTTGGTTTTAACTTATTTAAATGCCATTATTTTATGTAATATTGTAATAATTTAACTCAAAATTACTCTAACAACGTAAACCACTTTATTAAATAATTTACAAGCATGGAAAATGATAGTTGCTCTAATAAACACATTTAATGAAAAAATTAATTAAACATGATTATTACATAAATATGATTCAGACTTATGCCAGTAATTAATTTTGGGTAAAACCAAAATTGTTTTTCTTTGTTTAAATAGATCCAAATTTGAAATTAAATATTTATTATTATAAAATAAAACTGTGATTGTTAAATCAACATTCTTTTGTTCCACTCATGACCGATAATTTTTCACCTTAAATGAAGTACCTACGATTGAGATTGACTCACGTTAATATATTTCCAACCATTCCAAAACTGAAAAATATTAGTTAAGGTTGTTAGGGAAAGAGTATATTCTAATAATATATTAATATTCAAATACTTTTTCTAGTATTCGAATATTTAATMCTCCTTTATTCCAATACAAAGGTAAAGTATTTTTTTYAATATTGGTATTCGATTACCTAAAACATTAAACATATTATACCTATACATAAAAAATTAATAATAATTGTGTYGGTAAAGAAAGGTATATTTTCGTGATATTTCGCCGGTAAGCTTACTGTCAGTTGACATAACATTTTACATTGTTGAGTGTATTTGGTACGTTAATTGATCCATTATTATTGATATACGTACCTATATGCTATATGGATATATATGTATATATTATACTGTTAATGCATTTTAATATTATAAAATAAATTATTTAGGTAATTATATACATTATAGGATTATATGTATATATATATATATAGGATTATATATACGGATATCCAAATTCTAAATTAAGATTATATTCATCTCGTTGAAGTAATTTTGACCTGTAAATAATAGGTACCCATAATAAAGCTATGTCGCTATGTGCCTATAYAGTAGGTATATACTATAGAACTTATATTACAATATACACAACACATAAACGATCTACATTTTTTCATCATAGTGGGAACTTTATCTCGACTTTAAAATATATTATACTAGCTAATGCTCAAGAGTCAGTACATGGATATACTATTGTTATACATATGTAGGGACTTTTAGACTCAAATACTTATAAGTACAAAGAATATATAAGTAATAATAATAATATTAATACTTATAAGTGACATAAAGTAGGTATATACATATATGACAATAAAATAACAAGGTTGTAAAATTAAAAAGTAAAATGGTATAGGTACCTATTGGCTATTTAGCCATCAGGCAACGCTAACCTATGRCTAATAGATAAATCTAAACAACAACTTTGTTATTTTTCGCCCATTTCTTCATCATTTTAATAATTTGTTCAACTTGAGAATTTGCTGAATTTCTTAATAKATGTATGACATCAGCAATCTGATCTCTATATTAAAATAAAAATGTTGTTGTTATTACCAGTTGTAGTGATTTCGAATTTTCGAAACTATTGTACTGCAACGTTTTTTACCAGTGGTGAAATTATGATAATGTGGCTTCAGACGATTCAGATTCATGGGGTCCCTCTAATTTCACCATTAGTATTTACATGCTAATTTAGTAGGTTTATTAAAAATTTATAAAATTATAAAATTAAACTCACTGTGGATGATTTCCAAGCACTATTTGTTGAAATATGCCGGCACAAGCACCACGTTTTCCCTCCCAATATTCAGGCAACAAATCTAATCTTTCGAGCATATCAAATGCTTTTGCTGACTGCCAGAACTGATTAGTTTTATAACAATCGTTTGCGATTGACTGCAATATCATCAATGAATCTTGAGAATTTTCAATTTTCAAATATAAGTCCCAAGCTGACTGCGGCTTTTTATTCATAATAACTAAAAAAAAAATGCATAATTTTACAAATAAACAATATTATTTAAAACTTAATAATAGGTAATTAATACTTAAGTGATTACATATGTGACTAAATTAAATATTAAATATTATATAGACTATAGACATAATATATACTCGTACATAAAAGTTAGATAGTTAGAACATTTAGCTCACTGAGATATAGCTAAAGGTTTCCAATTTAAAAAAATCAACCACCTCGGATACATAACGACCTATACTCGATCTAAGTGCGAAAACTTTTTTTTTATTAGAGATACAGTCATACAGATAGCTGCTAGGTCACCCACCCACTCTGCAGACAGTTTAAATTAAAACATAGTCGAATTTCAATTGTTATGCAAAACCATCTCAGGATGAGTACTGGATTATTTTTTTTTTGGACAATTTCTTAATAACAATTAATTTGTATGAATAGAAACTTCTAAACTCTAAATGTTCATGTCCCATATAAATACATAATATAATATATAATATGTAGGTATATCCATCATATTTGTTTGGAAGTGAGAGTACTGCTGAGTATAATAATATAAAACGAAACGAGTTTTTAAAGTATGAATGGAATGTATCCGAAATAAGTTATTTTAACAAATTTCACTTATAATTTATAATTACAAAAATTCACAATAGTACGGACGACGCGTTGCGGTCTTATCGTATAGCGCTTTCCGTGGTCTATAAACGATGAGTGATCTAACATCTAAAGTAAATTAACGTAATTCGACAGTGTGCCGATTTCCGATACCAAAATATTAATCGCGACAATATCCATAATAATAATAATAATAATAATAATATTTATATATATAGGAAATCGGACACTACTCGATACGCAACAATATCATAATGAGCTATCTGCTATATGTGAGTTTGTCAAAACTTTTTATTGAAAACTTACAACAATGTATTAAATGATTTATGTAAATAAAACTATCACGTATTTTGTTGCTTTTCACTTGTAAATACATCTCTTCTGCTTCCTTGTACTCACCTAGTGATAATTTAACCTAAATATATAAATTATAAATATTATTGATTATTTAGACATTTAGTCGATTGGTTTATAAATAATAGTTGATAGAAATACCTGACCAAAATTAAAATTAAAACTATCATCGTTTGAGAAGTAGCTCTTTATCGAACTTAGATATAAGCTAACTTCGTCATAACGCCCTTCTAAAAATAAAGAGGAAGCCATGCATTGTCGACCTGGTATTGTGTCACATTCGCTGGAACTACTTCCTACCATATTAAATAAACTCTGTCCATTATCGATTTGCTTAGTCTAAAAATACAAACAAAATATACACCTTAAACATTGTTTTAAAAATTTATCAATAAATGTTTTCWTTTTTTACATCTCCTTTTTCTTGACCAACAACAACGTTAACAATAGCTTTTAATATATATTCTTGAGGGATAGCTGGTTCCAAATCTTTGATTAACTCGTAGGCTTCTTCATTCTCTCCTTGTCTTAAATAATATATTACTAAATTAAGACGGGCTTCTGGAAGAATATCAACAAGAGCTGGCAACACTTGTAAAGCACCTTCTCCTTCACGAAAAACAACCATGTTGTGTTTAATCAAATCTTCGCAAAACTTAAATGTTGATGATCTCCTTGCCTTTAATTGTTTTTTTGATATAAAGTAAAAAAAAAACATGAATATATATATTTTTTAAATAATTTCATATGAAACATGTAAAATAAATTCATTACCTAACATTATTTAACTTACGATAATATTTTTTAATTCTGATTCAGCAGCTTTACCATCGTATAATTTATATAAATTGCAAGCTTTTAAATTAGTTAATATCATAGAATCTGGATATTTTTTAATATAAACATCTAAAATTTCTTGAGAAACATCATAAAAGTCTAATTTATAGTAACAAAGAGCCATATAAACATTCAGCGCCAAAAAATGTCTGTGAATATAATAAATGTACCTAACTATTAATTATTAATTAAACTATAGGTAAATTGATTATAAAAAATAGTGTTAAACACCATAATAATATTATCAGACATTACTCTTCATTACCTATTCTTCTAGTGGCCGGTTTACCTTACTCTCGAATTTAGGTGTATTATACGACCAAATATAGAAGCTTTAATAGTAGCCTTAATGCCTTATGCCATTGTATGAATTAACATTTCAATTTTGGGCCTGAGTCTTAAAATTATATGAAGAAGTCGAAAACTTGATAATTAGGTACGTATTGTTTTTTTTTATTTTGGTAGGTATGATTTCCCCACGTGGGTGTGGGGTCTGAGCTGTATCTTCTCTAATTGGATCTCTTTAAAGTTTAAACAAGCTATTTAGGTAATTTAATTCAAATCGTAAGATATTTTTATTCTAAATTCTAATAATGATAAYTTTTTTAATAATTATTCAAATTTATTGATATTTAGAAATTATTTACGATCATGAAACTTGAAGTGTCGGTTTTATAGTACTATTATTAGTACTTAAACCAGATATACATACTCTATTGGTGCCTAAATATATCTGTGAATTGTGGAATGAAGTTTTGAACATTTGAACTATATTTTAATTCAATACATTGAAACTACTATTAGATATTAGGATTGAATTTATATACTTACCGATTGTTGATCATTAACTTTTTATATATATCAATAGCTTCTTGATAATGTGATCTAAGATAATGTATAGCTGCTAATGATAGTTGATCTTCAACCACATCTGCTAAAAGTTCATGATACTCCATGAGTTTTTTTTCATTGCCTTGTTTATGTGACAAATGAAATTGCAATCGAATTTTTACATCAGAGATGTCAGATTTGTCTAATACCTTATATTAATGGACAACAATTATTATTTTAATAGTTCGTATAGGTAATTTATGCTAAAAAATTACATCTTCAGCCTCYGGGTACATGCCTAAATAAAAATAACAACATGCCAAATTGACGAACAAATGTTTTATTCCTGGATTTTTGCTATGATTTTTGTAAATTAACATCGCGTTGTTATAATCACCTAAATGAAAATAACAATACGCTAACCATAGTTCTAACTCCACATCTTCTTTTGATTTTTCTATTTCAAACTAAGAACATTAACAAATTAGTAAAAAATATACCAGATATTATACAATTATCGTATAATTCGTATAAAAATATAATTTAAAAATGTACACTATAAAGAAATAGTTTAGCATATGCAATGCGCAATGTGCATACATGATATACATATATATTATATATATATACGATACACGTATTAACTAGTGCATTATATTATGTTATACCTAATATCAAATTTTATTTAATATGCTTACTCATATAAATTATAATTATGTTAAGTATATAATATGTATATTATAATAGCATTAAGCATGTGTATAAGTTAATTAATTGTTGTGTTTTCATTTTTCAGATTTTTGTTTAAAATTTTTTTTTCATATTAATATAATTTTATACATGAGTTTATTTGATTTTATTGTAATGAATAATTAGCTTAATTATCATTCAAAGGATTAATATTTATTAAAATCTATACTAACTTTTAGAATAGTTATAGCACCAGTGTAGTCTCTTTTCTCGATGAAATCCTTAGCGGTTATCTTRTGATTTGTCGGTTTAGTTTTCTCTAATTGCTGTYCTACCGCTGGTTTCACACGTGATAGAATCTATAGAAAAATATCATAGGTACCAAACCAATATAAAATACTTTTAATCTAACAAATATCAATAACTATAAAATTAGTGCATGGTGATAATATACTAATGTATTCAAATTTATTCATAAGATTAGTGAGTATAATAGGTGATTACTGATTACATATTATTTTTGATCTTACCATGTTTGAAGTGAGTATTGGATATTGGCTAGTGTATCAGGTATAAATTATACCTATATATAATAATAATTATTAATTAATAATTATTTCATGTGGATAATGCGTAAGTATCTTAAAGCTCAGGTATTTACATTCTACAAGTTTGTAATGACTAAACTATTAAAATATATTAGTATTTAGAATAATATTACCTACTAATATCTCTTAAAATACCAACTATTGTACAGTTATGTTAACTTACACAAATAGTAGATACTGTTGTGGTTTCCACGTCAGTACTCATATCCATAGCAACTTAATAGGAGCTGGTAGATACTTACTACCTGCAATCTACATACTCGATGTACTTAATGTAGTCTRCAGGGATGCCAATATTGAATATATCATTTTTTTTCTAACTTGTAAAGCTATTTTTTAAGTGGACCACAAGCACATTTAATATAGTCAACTTTGAATCGTCTAAGTTTAAATCACGTACTAAGATTTAGTCAGTGGTTTAAATAAAAGCAAAACATTTATCTTTATTTAAATTGTTTTTACGATTTATTAAATATTAGCCAAGCACCCACGAATTCTAGATATAATATGAAAATTCGGGAAATTTTGAAAAAAATATTTGAACGACATTGTGAAGTACCTACCGATATATATATATTTTTATTTTATCAAAAAGAATATTATTTATTACAATCTATACCTACTAATAGATAGTTAACCCCTCCCCCTGCGTCCGCCACTGACATTTAGGCTTATAACAGGCCTACTTAGAAAATTTTTAAGTTAAGCTAATGTATCTTGAACCTTCGCTGATGGCTTACCTGATTTGAGTCCTTAATCTAAACAGCTCATCTACAGTCGGCACCACTACTATCTACAAGTCTACAAATGACTGCATTTTTGAATATACGCATTTTATATTTTATACTTAAGAAAAACATTTGAGATATCCGATTATCCGAGTATGCCAATATGATATGACAGCATGACAAACAAAATATTTAATATATTTACTACTATTATATTGGTATAATATTATTAGTTAATAAATATATCTTCTTAMTTACAAGCCATAAGTTTATCGCTTATAATAGCTTTTATATTACAATATAGATACGAGTACTGCCATATCGGTCCGGCAGTGCTCGATTATTTGGTTTAGACTCCAGTATGTTATAAATTGTAAYTTATTATATAAATATATAAATTATTGTAAAAATAAAAATTTTAATCAAAAATTGTACAACCTACCTTATTTACTACCTATGTATTTTTTTATTACATTATTATAATACCTAATATATAGATTAGTTC